AAACATTAACTCAACAAAAGCAAATCACAGTGAAGTAATTTTTTTTTGATAAATAGTGGTCGCCTTAAAAATTTCTCCTTGAACCGACCTTTTACCAGTTTACTGGTATTTCAATTTTCAAAAAACATGTTTTCTTGTAAAAAATAATGGCCATTTTGAAACTCAGCTGTCTTCTTGAACCTACCTATTTCATGGCTTAAATCTGATCCTACACATGATACAGACTTCAGGGACCCACATTGATGGAGGGATCTACTATAGAAGTCATTGATCTTAGGAATCTGGATATGTGAATGGAGCTCTGGAAATACCCCAAAAAATGTGTAAATTAGTGTAGATTATAACTAGTCTTTGCATCAGGATGCAATAAAGCACATGTTATGGGAAAAATGTAAGTTTCAAAATGGGCATGTTCTTTTTTGTTTTGTATTTTGTTTACCAGTAATGAGGGTTGGCAAAACCTGTTCTGCATATACAGCGTGTCCCCCACCCCCCTAGGCAGTATGGGCCCCCCATAAGCAGACATATACCAATGGTTCCATTGCATGTGTCATATATCATTTAAAGCTTTGCACAAGCTTTAAATGTTGTCATAACATGTTGTCATGGCTTTTTGTACCAGCTGTGGACCAACGATGCAGTCAAACACTTTGAAGTACTTTTTACAAACAAGCAAATTAAGGGACCCCTGAGCAACCACACACCAGCCCATTAAATTGATCACAATATAGCACCTACGGTGCGATGATAATATTGTACTCCCGGTAATTTTGGCACGCTACTTTATTTTGGGCTTTTCGCAAAAAATGGAAAATTCGCAAATTATAAAAGGCGCGAAAATTCCAGCAGTTCTAATTCGGGGATTTCAATGTTGACAATATTTTAATCCAGAGCTGGGTTATACATAGGTAAAAAAAGCGAAATATAATAGCCGTGAAACAAAATGCCAAAAACGCAAAATATAATTGTGTCAAATATTAGTGGGAGTACAGTATATCATGAACATGTATATCAGAATGTACCTTGACCTGCATATTTATAATTTGAAAATGAACACTCAGCTTAATTCATGAAACATACTGTAGATACAGTTAATTATCACACTTAAGAACTGAGATTTAGAACTGAGTTTTAAGTTTTATCATTGATCTGGAAATCAGCATTTCAAACTCAGGAATATAGCATACAGTAAGTCTTGGTATAGCAATGAAATCCAAATAGAAAAGCTTACACAAATGAAATCTTTCAGAGATTTGGAGATTTTCCAAAATACACCTGAAAATTGGTGGATTTTTGTTTGGCAGACCTTTTCAATCCGTCAAATTAAACAGTAGCCAAATTAAAGGTGCAACAATTAGTGCATAGGGGGCATTAAATGATCATTGACCAGTGTCAAAATATATTTAAGTTTGTATATTTCATCAAGACTAAAATTATTTTTTATTATCTCCTAAGATACCCCCTGGATGAACATTAGTTCAGCTGATTTTCCTCTTGAAACGTTGTGAATCTTAAAATCTATGAATTGGGACACCCTTTATAGAAGCTTTGAACTAAATTTATACTGCTTAATGCTGAAATTGATAGTTTATCCATACATTTCAAAAAAATAGATATGTCAAAGAAGATATAAAGCTAAATATTGACCTAGTAGCTCAGAAAAAAATAAAAAATTTCGAAGTTTCTCTCTACAGTCCTTGTTGCCCCTTTAAGTGTATCTACAGTACCCACGTAATAGGACTTTCTCACCTGTTTTGCTTATCTCTGAAGTATTCTCACATGATGTCACAGCCAGAGTAAGGAGTCAGGTATTAGAGAGGAGCAGCATCAGAAAGCCGTGCCAGATACAACAATGATGATGTACTTTATGGCATCTAAAGAAATATTTAAACAAGTTGTTAGAGAAAATTAGTACATAGATGACAGGCAGGTTTATGGTTGTTTCAATACCTATTACTCCAATATCATCAAGGCAACAATAAATATTTTTGAAGCAACCTCTAACAAAGCATTAAAATGACAAAATGTAGCCACCTGGAAGCTACATCTAATCTAAACACTATTAGTTAATTTTTTTCAAGTTCTAAGAATTTGTTCTAGATGCTGAATGCTAACTGCTGACAACTGGATGTTGGAGTATGCATGACTGCTAAAATTCATAAATGCAAATAGTTGTGTTTCTTGTCTGTTTATCATATTAGAATCGTAACAAAGACCTCGATTTTATGATATATGTCAAATATATGACCTCAAATTTTATTCTGGCCATTGCCAAAGACCTCAATCACTTCGCAATTTCAGTCTTTTAACAATGAGCAGAATAAAATTTTTGGTCATATATTACGCCATAAATTATAAAATCTTGGTCTTTATTCCTTAAATATCTTACCATTTTAGTAGGTAGTGACATAAAATCAATGTGTGTACAAAAGTGTAACATCTTGAAGTCTCTGACTGCCAACAGCCTAATTTTAGTAACAAAAATGCTTTTAGAAATATCAAACATTCAGGTTTTTGATCATTTGAACCCACGTGAGCTAATATTATCATGACTTCAACTAATTTAAATGAACAAGGAAACAAACCTGCATCTTTGAGTTTCTTGAGGAACTGAGTAACTATAGATCATTTCTACTCAAGCAATCTGCATGGGTTCTTTCACTTCATGTTCATATAACACCCAGAGCTTTAGTACCCACTCTTTGCCTGCCTGAAAATCAAAGTGTGAAGAGCATTTAGTATACAGTCAGTTCTTGGATATGTTATGCATGGAAATAGTCCTTTTGCATCTGTAAAAAAGCATCTAATATTGAAATTTAGATTCATTCAAATGCTAACTTACCATCCTATTTGGTCAATGCAGTTGTGCTCTCTGGCTAATGACATTTTCAGTTCATTTTCCCCATAGAATATAAAAAATACCCTTCTCAAAAGTGAAATTGACTGAAAAGGCTATAAATATTGCCTATACCTAACATTAATAAGACAATGCATTAAATGCAATGGTGCAAAGATAAAGTGTTTTGCACTGTAAACGGTGAAGTGGACTATTTGATGATTATAAAATTTCACCTTTTATTGAAAAATGGTTGGATATTTGAATATTTGAAAAACATTTCCAATATTTTTGCTTATGTCTGTGAATTTTGGACCTTTTGATAGTAAAGGCTCAAGAGATTTTTCTACAGCGATGCTTGATCAAAATATGAAAATTTGAAAATGAATTCCACAGATCATCAAAAGCAAGGCTTTTTGGCCAGAGTTCAACTCAGTTCATAACATGAAAAAGTTTCACACCAACTGTTAAAATTATGAGAAAGCTGCTAGTAAAGGCTTAAGAAGATCTGGAGATATTTCATCAATGATGCTAGATCAAAATATGAAAATGAATTCCACAGATCAACTTGCTTTTATAAATGTCACTACATGAAAAAGTTTCACACCAACCGTTGAAATTATGTTGAAAGATTAAGTGTAGCTAAATTAAACTGGCTCTCTCTAAAGCTGGCCAGATATAAGTATTAGTAGTATTACCAGGAACTTTTCTTGCATCAAAATGAGAAAAATATGCCCAATAAACAATAACAATTTCAGTTGATCAAAATAATAAAGACAATACAGAGAAAGAAATGTCATGTCACCCTTCACTTGAAGGAAATCACAGACCTCTGCCAGATTACCTGCTCTGTGTCTATGCTCAATAAATATTTTTTATCCTTTGAGCCTACTACCAATAGGAGCGGGATCTGGCTCCGGATCTGTAGTTTAAATTGTCACTCGGTAGTTTTTCCCAATGAATTTCCCAATAAAATTTCCCCGCTCGTCACCCTTATTTCCTGATTTTTGGAAATATGTTTGAGAAACGATAAGTCAATGTGGCAAATTAGAAGTCGGTGTCAAATTACTACACAAGTTGATTTTGAACTGTGAAATGCAGACATGACAGCAATCTTAGTTCAACTAGGCTTAATCATCCTGATGAAAAGTCAAAGAAAGAAAACTTGGTGAGCCTTAGTTATCGCAGTCCACAAGTTGTAGACTGTAATAATGCCTTGGCCCAGAGACATGAAAAACAGTTTTTCATGTCTCTGCTTGGCCCTTGGTCTAGATCGGGATTCATAAAAGTCTTAAGTTGATCAAGAATAAGGGTAATATCCCAGGGTAATATCGACCATCTAGTTATACCCTAAAAGCACAATAATTCAGATTGGAATGGCAAAACTGGTCATTCAAAATTCAACTTAGAAAATTGGAAGCCATCTTCGATCTTGGAATAATTTTAGTGAACTTTTACGACTTGTTCCTTCACTTTTATCGATAGCACCTGTTATATACTTACTTCAATGTTATCTGTTTGTTCCCTTATACTTTATACACCAGACAGCAATACTTTAGGGTCCAATTTATTGTAACAGTCGTCATATTCGGGCATATTCGACAGCAATTTGAAAACTTCCACCTCAAAACCGGAATTTACGTCATGAGGTCATGACTCGCCAAAAATACGATTTAGGGTGAAAAATGAGAGTGCACTTTCGATATCATTTTCTCCATGAACTACAGGTAGGTTAAAAAAGTTAAGATGACAAAAAGATCAGAGATATCCAAAATAATCGGGAACACCTGAAGGTTAGTGCTGAAAACCCTGAAGACAAATTTCTGCCAACTTTTTAGCGGAAATTTTTTTTTTTTGGAAAAATCTTCCAAAAATATTCAAGTCGGGCCTACACCAAATACACTATTTTATCCCTTATGAAACATAACGATGGCTTTATATATCACAACTCTCGTATCTGGCATCCTAAAAATTCAAACAGAATCAAAATTGATAATTTATGGGTTGAGTTATGGCCTCTTGATTTGAGGTGTCGTATTTTTCTACGAACTCGTGTACCGAGAAATCGGGACTATATCACGCCACGGCGGAGATAGAAATGTCGCTAACCGAAGCACAATTTGCCCTTTGGATCTCCTGCTGGATAGAAAACCTAAAAACCTACCTCATGGCCACATTACTACCATCTATTACAATGTACCGGAGGTTTTTCTTGCCACTTGGAGGCGGATTATACTTTTGTACAGTCTCAAAAGTGCCCTTCATTCTGTTTAGATTTGTCTGAGGCTGAATTTGAGCAGAAGTCACTGTTTCAGGCATAGAGGCCACATTAATCGGATGAATCACTGTATTGACCATCGATGAAGTTTGTTTTGGCTTAACTGATAAAGTTTGTTTTTGGGAAGCAGTTTGATTCTGCTGCACTGGTAATTTATTTTGTTGAGAATGTGATTTTGGTTTATTGAGCAGGCCATCCTGTATGGATTTTGGGGCTCTTACAGGAGAGACTTTGCGGACAGGTTTCTTCTGGACATTGGCCTGTTGGGATCTAATAGGGGAGTCACTTGTCACCCGTTTCCGCTTTGCTTTCTTTTTTCCTCCTCTACCATCAACAATGTCTTCAGTTAAAGTGTCTTCCAAACCAGAGTTTTCAAATGCATCTTTCAACCAGTCTTGCCTAGCTGACTGGTCACACTCCTGGCCTGTACTAGTTACCTTTGAACTGGTTAGAAATGCTTCTCTTAGACTATCTTGTCTTGATTTACCTGATGCACTTGATTGAGCAATTTTCTTCTGTTCCCTTTCTTTGTTATTTTTGCTATTTTTCACTAGCAAGCCTAAAAAGCTGCTCATTCTAATCTCCCCATCTGCTAAACTGTCCCAGGCCTCGTTTATCTCCTCTTGAGAATATCCCTTTTGCAGACTAAATTCAACTAAATCTTTCCGTGGGGTGGATGGTTTAGTGACAGGTGGCCTAAGAGGGGTGGACATATCCTTGTTATGGACTTGGAATTCATTATCAATCACAGTTTTCTCAAGTTCACTTATATCAGGAGTCAGTGTATCATCTAATATGATAAGATCGTTTGATATGACGCCATCTTCCACCTCAGTGCCTTCCACTACACGACCTTCCTTTCCCTTATCATAGTGATCCCATTCTAGTACCACAGCTTTTACATCATCCCCAGCGAAAGAATACTCGGTAATGTCAAGGTCATTGTTTTTGTCACAGATTTTGTGGAGTTCTTTGTCAAGTCGGTTTGATGCAACACTTGTGTTGAAATATTCCGTTTCTTCTTGTTCTTCATCCCCCAGCATGTGCTGAATTTAAATAAAAAAAAAAAACTATTTGATTTAAAACATTTTTTAATATTTTGCGAAGTTTAATCAAAGGGTTCACAATTGTACATGCAAAATTCTCATTTCACCTACCTCAACAGAGAAATACAAAATATCATAAAATAAAATACCCGTAATCAAAATTTTATCCAAATTTTTCTCTATTTTCCAAAATTTCATAATGGTGTAAGATAACTTCTGAATTCTCAAAAGGTGCAGCACCCATGCAGTTACTAGCAAACAGGCAAAAGCACTGAGCTGTTAAAGTAAATTTTATCAAGTGGCTATCCACAATGCACATATTGGTACATATATGTCAGCATAACTGAGAAAATAAGAAGCCTTCACATTGACATCAAAACTCAACTATTAAACTTATATTTGTATTAACTTTGTTGAAACAATTTGTTTTTGACTTACTTTGAAGTTGAATATAACTTCCTCAAGGGCTGACATAGCAAGGGTAACTGCAAGTTCTGATCCAGAAACGATTGCACAATGTTCACTTTCATCAAATACTATTACTGCTTTTGACTGTCTCTCCACTCTCTCGTGACATGTTGGGTCTTGTATTATCTGTGCAAGGGCTTTTGGATATTTCATTTTCACACGCTGCTCAGGAGAGCATAATGAAATGATGTAATCCTGTAATTAAAAGTCTTCATTAGAATGGTTTTACCAATCACATGTTTCAAAATATCAGATTTGGCTGCAATAATAATTTTGATAGCGAAATAACCAATGTTCAACTTGCTACATTTGGCCTAATTTGTTTTTGAAATTATCTACATTTATCTAAAATGTTGCGCTCATTGTGAGTAAAGCACTTTTTGAAGCAAGTACAAAGCGTACCCATCTAATTCCTACCCCTGGGGGCAATATTGCGTATCAAATTACATACCCTCCCTGCATAGGGTGGGGGGGGGGGGGGGTTCTCACACAAAATTTTGAATGGGGCAATACACATGTACAAATTCAGAAAAATATGAACACATGGGAAAAAAGAGGCATTAACATGCAAAATGCCACCACCATTCGTTTCAAACACCATACCAACCATCGATCGCCAACCGCCATCACAAAAAACCATAACAATATGTCACCACCTTTTGGAAGTCTTAAGATGCATTTGAAATAATAAATCTAGAGAGTAGATGCCAAACTTACTTTTGCTTCTTTACGATCATTTTCTTCCCCTATTAGAGTAATCCACACGTGAGCATTCTTTTCACTGTCATGTGCTTGCAGTCCATCCTTCACCTACAAATAAAATAAATAAAAAGAAATCAATTATGATCTTTCCATCCTCAACAGGGCCCTTGAAATTATCTGCAAAAAGAAGCTTCACATGCAGTGTGGAGCCAAGCTTTGGAAGGATGAACCTTGCTTATTTATGTATGCCCATCCTTATCATTCCCATAGCCTACATTACAATATAGTGTAGTGAAACTCGTTTTATCTAAAACAGGTCTTATCCTGTACCCCTAGCTCCCTAAATGCCATGCTTCTGTGATATAAATTCCAATGTTGAAGTATTACAGGTTCATCTAACAAAGACATAAATATTCCGTCCTAAATCCATAGGACTTCTTCAGTTACGGTGGCAGAAAATTTGAAAATTAAGATGGTCGTCTCAAAAGTTGGTTTGTCCAAATACACTTCTCTGTCTCTGTTCATAGATGGCACTTATTGGAGAATTTTAATAGCTTTAATAACTGAAGAAATCCCATGGATGGAGGACGAAATATTTTACACAAGTTTTTCAAACATGTCCGTGTTAGATAAACCTGTAATATTTCAATATGAACATTTGCGGAGGGATGAACATTCTCAATTCCAATGTTCTTTCTTTAAATGTCAAAATAGTACCTTCACATGGTATCTCTCTTGAATCATCTTCCTTTGCCCTTTGATCAGACCAACAGTATCCTTAGGAACTATGAACTCATCTGTCATGTTGTACTCCTCAACATCTATGAGAGCATGTCGCTCCTCCAGTACCTGGATACTAGTATCTGACATCTTACCCTACAAATATGCACATACTGTTATAGAAATAAGAGAAATGCATCAGCATTTGACAAATAAGAAATGAATACAAAGGGATCATGGGGACCAATTCCACGAACTTGCAGGCTTTCAATTGTGTTGGAAATTTTTATAGGCAGTGGTCAAAACAGTATAAAGGAAACAGTTATTTAGAATCCGTTACACTGCTTCAAAGCAACCAGTTGAACCTAAAAATAAGAAATCTAAAGACTATTGTGCAATAATATTTAGAAAAATATATTCATATTGCACACAAATGACACTTGTATATCTTGGATTGCTTGTGAATTGGCTTATAAAGCCTATAACCTCTTATATTTTGATGCTTCTTTTGCTTCCATGTTAATTCTGAGAAAATAACATGGCGGATAGAAATTAGTAGAGGGCACAGGCTTATTGCACTAAACACTAGTGTCACAATTAATCACGATTTTAATTGCCAAAAGTGATGCTGACTATGCATCGATGTCTGAAACAAAATATCAATATTTTTACAACAAAATATATCTGCTAAAATCATCTTTTCCTATCTCATTTTCATTCAAATGCCATACCTTTTTCATTCTTTAGTTCATCTTCCCTGATATGCTTTCACTTTAAATTTTTTTTAGCTTATTGAAATTTCAAGCAATAACCTCCATTTTTTACATTTATTTACGCATATAAGGCATCTCTAGATTCCTTATCTACATTTTTCAAAACATTAAACTATGATAATGTAAATTGTCAAAATAAGAACGTTAACATGAATGATGATATATTAAATAACAATATGATAGATCGTTCTGATTTGAATTGTCAAATTACACCTGAAGAGATCAGGATGATAGTTAAAACTTAAAGATGGGTAAAAGTCCAGGTGATATTAAGTATTCAACTGATAAGTCAATACACCTTTATACATTGTTATTCAATTGCTTTTAACAATACTGTCTTTAGGACATATTTTTGTGAAACCGATGCATTAGCTATATTGACTGAACCGTCCTTCACCCAGTACTGAACTGCTTTTTTCATTTTACATGTATACCTACAAAAAACAGGTGTAAACTCAATCATATTTCGTAAGATGTCTTGAAAACGGAGATGTTAACTCAACATAATTTTTCTAAAACATTTTAGCTAAGACGTCTTGGAATGCCACGTATAGTGTAAATAGGGCAATTGTAACATTAAAAATACATTTAGTTTTTGACCCTATTTATGTCAACCAATATAGCACATAACAAAACCTATAGAAACAGGGAGATACATAAAAAGACCAAGGTTAGAGAGATTGTGTACCAAATGCAACAGATTGGGGGATGAGTTCCATTCACACCCGGTGATCGTGAATATGGGACGGAGGGGGGGAGCAGGCAATTTCTGCTAGGAAATTCAACAAATCTGGAGGATTTATTTTTTCAAGAAAAAGTTTACTATTGAATTGCTAAATGGATAGGCACACGGTATGGTAGAATATGTTAGGTTTTCTGGGATTTTTTCTGAAACGATACACATCTAAGGTATGAGATCTATTAAAAAAGGCGCAAGGCCATCAACAGGCACAAATCAACGTTTTTGCTATAAATCAAGCAACAATGGTCTGGACGACCTGTAATAAATACTTGTAAGTGATGTTATCATAACTAAAGTAATGTCATTGCTGAATTGATAAAATAAGTTTCCATATGTGAAATAAAAAATAATCGAAAATAATGAATTTGGGACGGAGGGGGGGGGGGGAGGGGACGGAGGGGGGAGCAATATGTATATAAGACATGATTAGAGATGTTTCGCGACTTTAAGTCCTTTTACTCCAAATGTCCCCATTTTTCAGTCTCCAGGGGTATATCATCCAGTTTCTTACTAAGTTAATGAGTTCATTTTTCAAATACAAGAATTCGTGTGAAGTTGTTTCACTTTATAGAATTATTACTCCCCCCCTCCGTCCCCTCCCCCCCCTCCGTCCCATTTTAATTATTTTCGATTATTTTTTATTTTACGTATGGAAACCTATTTTATAAATTCAGCAATGACATTAATTTAGTTATGATAACATCACTTACAAGTATTTATTACAGGTCGTGTAGTCCATTGTTGCTTGATTTATAGCAAAAACTTTGACTTTTGCACGTTGGTTGCGTTGCGCCTTTTTTAATAGATCTTATATCTTAAAAGAGTATCGGTTGAAAAATAATCCTAGAATACCTAACATATTTTATCATACCGTGCGCTTATTCAATTTGCAATTCAATCGTAAACTCTGTCTTGAAAAAATAATTTTACCAGATTTGTTGAATTTTCAAGCGGAAATTGCCTGCTCCCCCCTCCATCCCATTTTCACGATCACCGGGTGTGCCATTATATTTTAGAATGTAAAATTTTTGAAGATGACGGAAAAACACTCCGAGATAGCTACTTCATTAGACAACCAAATATGTTGAAAGCTCCATGTGCAGTATTGCAAGTCATTTTAGACAGTCATGTATTAAACCATGAATACTTTCTGGGAATAAATACAGTGTTTCTTATTAAAACAATATGTTTTCTTTCAAGTAAAGTAACCACCATGATAAAAATATCAATTGAACAATTCTAAAATTTATGAATAGGGACCCCATGTCTATTGTCAACATTTTTTTCAAAATATTGAACCTATTTACTCAAAACAGGATCTTTTTTTCTGTTTTTTTTATTGCATGAAAAGATTATTCAACAAGGGGTCTAAAACTTCTTCAAAAGTAGAATGGTATTTGAAAGTCTAGTTTTGAAGATATCAATTTTCGATGACCAAAATGATGCTGAAAACAATGGGTACACGTGAATATTGCATCATGAGAGTTGCTATGCATTATGGGTAACACAATAACACAATCAGGGGATCCATGGGCTACTTAAAATCACTAAATAATATGGTGACGGTTACGCCAGGGTAAGTCTTGCAATAGATAGGGTCTCTATCAGGGGTCGTTACAAATGCTACTATAATTTTTAACTTATTTTAATAAGTTTAGTTTATGGATAACGAAATAAACCACGCCTGCCTAACCTTATATAAAGTTTGGCGTGACTTGTTTGACATGTTGTGGTTGCACACGGATGCACACATATTATTAGAGCTATATTTGTAAAGTTCTTTCTTCTTTCAAATGTAACCAAGCTGAATACACGTTGGTCTACATTTGTAATTCAAGTATTATCACTTATAAACAAATAGAAGTCATAGAAATACTATGCCTAACAAACAAATAGCAGACGAGTCCGTGAAGATGCTGGGATATAGGTTCCTCTCACGTTTAACAAAAACGACGTTGTTGAACAAATTCTGGACGATGGTAATGATATTACCGCTCATAGCACATCAGTTGGAAATGAAGAACCTCGAGAAACGAATGTCGCGCTTGCTTCCAAGACTTATGATGAAGCGGCTGATATCACGGCATAACCTAGTACACGTCATCACAGAACATACCTCAGAACCAAGGAGCTACTGTTTGGGGCTATAATAATACTAACCATGACACCAAGTCACCACGTGAGAAACTATGACAGGCCCTCCAACTAAGATATAACTTATAACTCAGGTAATGTCATTCTAGCATGTTGACAATATTTACGTAGTATCGTTCAAACATGGTCTACATACGCCATACTCAATGTTATATTTTACTATACTTACATGTATGTTCTAAAGTGTAGATATTCACGGATTTTCAGAATTTGCATTTGATCCCCGTATAAGATGAGTCTATTTGAATAGTATACGTGTATCTATTATAAATAATTGTGAAGATCATGATCAAGATGCGATACTTATAACTAAGTACTCATATTCAGATACACACAACCAGCAGCTTATGCTTATAAGGGAGTCTTTCAGTTATAAGTGCATCCATTTGAATACCCTTTACATTTGTTCGACTTCACTTCTTGAAAGAGATCTTCCTAGTTTATAACTAGACTCTGCGCGCAGGGTACCATTTGGAGCCAGTTTCCAAAGCACTCCGATGAACGATTGATTGCATTAAAGGGACAACAAGGCCTGTAGAGAGAAACCTTTTCTTTACTTATTGAGCTAGCAGGGCAACGTTTGGCTTAACATTTCAATTGGGATACCTATTTTCGTAAATTTATTGATAAGCTATCATTTTCAGCATTAGGGAGAGTAACTTCAGTTCAGGGCTTCTATTAAAGAAGTCCCACCTATAGATTTTAACATCTACCATGTTTTCAAGAGGGAAATCAGCTAAAATAATGTTCATCCAGGGTTTTCCTTGGGGATTATGAAAGTATAAGTTAGTCTTCATGAAATATCCAAACTGGAATATCTTTTAGTCTGGTCCTTGATCGGTCAGCATTAATTGTTGCACCTTTAATTTTTTATCGTATCTATAAAAAATTAGCTTCTTCATGGCACGTAAAAACAGCTCTTACGATCTACAAGTCACATTGTTTATACTTTCTAACTTGCGATTTTCAGAGGTTAATTGTTTGTAAGATTTGTATACTGCTTGGTGATTTATGTTACAGAATTCCTCAAGACAATCCTCGGAAGTCCACCGGATAGCTGCTAGCGTGATATTCATCTACGTATTCACAACATTGGACATTTCAACTATATTAAATCCCCACATGCTTCTCTTCATTGGACTTACTCAGTGCGCATGGGGTCTGAGTTGACCCCCCTACTTTTTCTGTAATACACTACAGTTTTTAACAGGGTTAGGTCACCGGATTAGAAGCATTTGCGCAATGGCACCTTTGCACAAGAATAGTTCAAAGGATTCGACCCTTCTATTAACTCTGCCTCTCTGGCGTTTCGATGAAATCCCATCCCATCAACATAAAGCAGGCAGATTATAGTTTATCAGTGGCTACAAAAGCAACATAAACCACCAGTGGACACCCTTATAATGCAACCATTATTGTGAAAACAGCACATACCCTCGCCTTCCTCCGAGTTTCACTAGTTCGACTCATAAGGGTCTACGGGTGAA